AGCCAGGCTAAACACTGCCAGTGAGACTTACAAGGTGCTTAAGATGATGTAAAATGATCCCAGGGTCAATGGGATCGGGAGAAGATGTTAAATTGAGTAAAATGAGCCATGAAAGGACACTGTTAACAGCCTGAAGATGAAGGACGTTGCAAATGTTTTCAAGGGCAATGTTGGCAGAGCACTCCTTTTTTAAATTAGTGTTATTATCAGGAGATAGTAGGTATGGAAGTGAATCCCTAGCTGTATCATAAAAACTTTTTCTCAGTACCTCTGTAGGAAAATTAATCAATTCTGCTTACTGATAAGTCTTGAAATTATTAAATAGATTGTAATCCTTAAATTTCAAAGGTTAATGTAACTATAAATCTATATGGTATCACCCCCACTAACAGAAAAATAAAAATTAACACATTTCAAAGTAAAGATTAGACAAAATAAGATAAAATCAAGAGCAAATGATAACATCACATATTAGAAATACAGGAAACTTTCTACATCCATAAAATGGCTTGAAATAATATTATAGAGTGCTGTTGCAAGGAAAAAATAGATTTACCTTAGAAATGCCAAAAAAAATGTAATAGTAAATGAATGTTTTAGCATTGCTAATGGCTTTTTGTGGATGAAAAAAATTTATATGGGATATAATCTATTTCCTAATAGTTAATTAAATAATACAATCTGTTTTAGTTGTCACTGATTGCAGCAACATGGATGATATTTCCACAAAAGCCACAGTAATTACCAATATTCTTGCACAGTAATTTAAAAGATTAAATAGGTCCACACAAAGGTCATACTCTTAGACATATCTTGATTTAAATGGGTCAAATTATACCTGTGTTGTCACTGTGAGTGTTTATAATTAGGAGTTTCCATTGATCTAGAGCTCTCCCAGTGGAAAGATGAAGAATCAGGGATTTTATCAGAATTTAAGCCATCTGAGCTGACTACACAGGGAACATTGTACTTGTGCACAATCTAGGCACTTCAGTCAGGTGCTAGCGTCTGGTGTCATGAGCCTTATCTCAACTGTTCAGGGCAGTATTACAATCTGAAAACAATAGTTTTTACAGTGAGAACAGTCATTCACTGGAACAGCAACTATTGAGGCTTGTTTTATAGTCCAATTATTGGTTATAATGATCCCGTGCACATAAGGCCAAATTAGGAAGTAGCACTGGCATTCAAATTAAAATAAGAAAACCTTCTCTTTAAAACTGTGCTAATAGATATGAGGGAAAGACCCTGAGGAAGTAATGACCTTCAGCTCCTGCTCCTGTAGTTTCTACATACAATGGGAACAAAACCAGCTACCTTGGAAATTTTGTGTAAATAAATATTTACCATAATAATACTTTTATATTGTACACTTTCAAATATAGGTGCTTTATATACCTCATACCCTAGGACATGATAAATATGCCTTTTCCAGATAAACATCAACAGTGTTGGCTTTTCTTAATGATGACTTAGTTTACAGGACATTCATGCTTTGTTTAAACAGGAACAGCAATTTATATCGCTCTCTATCACTGAAATCTGCCTTACAAACTTTTATCCAGGTACCTAATTTTACCAGTGATAAGAGCGTTGTTAGATAATAAAGATCAGTAAACGTTAAAATGACTGCAAGACCAGGCCTGCCGTACAGATTTTAACTTACAGTAGGTAGAAGTCAATACAGAATACATATAGCAAGTTTCTGGGCTTTCTCTCAGTCAATATTGGTTTACTTATGTTAGCTATAATAACGAGTAACTGTGAGATTAGAACAATTGTGTATTTTGTCTCCATTGTTCTTTGTGAGAAAACGTAATAGTATTTTTGGTGAGTAATGATTTCGTAACAATAATTTTATGATTTTGTTATCTATCAATTTAATATCAGAATCAATTTACCAGTTGTTATGCTTTTTGCTCTGTCTTAATAAGCTACATCTCAGCTGATATCCTCAGTTCTTTGTATCAAGCTGAAAGAATAAGAAAAACATCAAATACAGGGTTTATAGCAGAAATGCTGACAAGCCATTGAGTACAGTGGTGCTGTTGGGCATCTCTCTTTTAGAGTTGCTCAGTAATAATTTGTCCTGTGCCAAACAGTATATAACAAAAACTAAATTTATTCAATCTGAAATGTGTCTGTTCTGATTTCAAAAGAGAATTTGATATCAAGACTGCAAAGGAAGCAAATTAAACCAAAAGATCACATCAAGGCAACTGGTTTGCTGTCCTTTCTACTTTTATACTGTTTGATGTTATATATAAGCCCAAAGCAATATTATAAATTGGAACAAACTAAGAGCTTTGTGGGTGTTTAGACTTTGGAATAAGTACATCTCAACAGTCTCCAGTTATTTTGTTTCACATTTTAAGATCTGAAAGACCTTTGGAGGTAGAAATTCATTATCCAAACCTTCCTTGAATCAGGCAGAGCCACTAAAGAACTGGTACTAGAACAGAATGAATAGGAGTCAGAAAGGTCTGAACAATTTTTGTCATTTCCTACTGGTCATAATCCCTTCAGCTGTCACTTTCTGATAGAATTTTTTTGTATAATTTTGAAATCCTCTTCATAAAGCAATGATGTGCTGCACTTCATGCTGTGATTCCACATATGCTACACCGCCAGCCCCATTAATCTGTCATCACTCCAGGTCTTCCTTACCCTTACCCTTTCCTATGCACTACTATTATTTCCTGATGCAGCTCAAGCTGGACTTCCTCCAGCCTGTGCATGTTCAGTGCACAAAGCACAACTTTTTCCTGGGTACCTGTACAGAAACACCAGGAAACCGAAAGACAATGCACCAAACAATAAACTTTTTTCTTTTTCTCTCATGGAGTCATATAGTTAGTGTCAGATTTTCCGACTCCTTAGACATGAAACACTAGTCACAGTAACAGCTACAATAGTATGCAAGCATCATAACAAGAGTTAATGAATTCTATTGCATGTATAAAGGAAACCTTGAAAACCATGTTAGTGTGCGATTTGAAGGTATTATTCCTATTTGTGGAAAGCAGTTTATTATGATTTTTGGACTAAGCTGGTAGAATTTCACTGACCTGAGGGACCTTCATTTCATTCATCTGAAGAACGGTTTGAAAGAACAATTTATTTACCAAATGATTTTTTTCTTCCTTCATAATGATGTCAAAAAGATAATAATTTTACACACATGGGAGCAGTATTATGCCTTATACTTTTCTTCTGAGCATGCATGTTATTATCATGAATCATCCTACACAATAGTTTTTTTATAGTCCAACCTCCTGGAATTTTAAGGGAATTAAAGCTCTTCTGCACTTATTTATTTATTTCTAAAGGAATAGCTGCGAAAGATATGCTGGGGGGAAAAAAGAGCTCTCAAGCATCTCAAATATTAGCAATTTAAAGAAAAAAAAAAACCAAACCACAACAACCAAATCTCAGAAATTAGACACTTCTTAATATTCTTACTATTTGATATTTTCAATCATATAGTTAAATACATCTCAAGTACTAAATCAAAATTTGGGAACATGTCTGGAAAGCAAAAATTATAGGCATGGGTTATCAAAATATTTTCATTATTTATTTTTCTTCATTTAATGTAGTTTGACATATGCAGTCATGTACGTTTCATATGTATTACTGGCCATTGTTGGAGTTATTCTTGAAATGATCTGATGTGGTTGCTTCCTTAAAATGCATTAGAAATTAAAGATTTCCTGTGACTCTTTAATAAAGATTTGATTTTAATTATATTCACTTACTATGTAAATTAGTTCCAAATTACTCAGTTTATTAATAACATATCTGGAGTTTCAAAATAAATGTCATTTAAATTCCATTAAACATGCTTGCAATTTTGAGCTGTTACAGAATATCCATACTTAATTATGTGACAAATTAACAGATTGTTTTACTGGTTAAAACAATGTTTCTTGTTAGCTGATTTAAAGATTTGCAAATGGGGTACAGATGTAGGCTTTTTTTTCTCAAAGCTAATAGGAAAAAAAGTCCAAGAAGTTCATTTTCACTTCAAAATGCAAATTAGCTTACTCTAATTTCCCCCATGCATTTGAATGTCACCATATGAAATTTATATTATGTTCCTTCATACTTTTCTGAACTACATTTTCTGATGCAAACTGCTGCTTCTAGTGTGTGAATCAACAGTTTCTAACATATTTGCATATTTGCAAAATAATATTTACATATTATTTTGACTTTTTAGAATATTTAGGACTGAATTTATTCAGACCTTCAGAACATTTGAGTTACGTGTCAAGATTTGAAAATGAGGACAAATTATATGCCAATGATGTAATACATACAATTCAAAATGAGAAGTAAATTGCATTTACTTATTGTAATCATGGAAAGAGGACAGTAATTCTTCTTAATTCCTAAAAATTGCCACCATTGTAGTTTCTTTTTAAAAATTTGAAAGTGCTCAATAAATATTAAGTAAACCTTTTGGTTATATTCCTGTTTTCAAAAGCCAGAAAATATGCTGAGAGAGGTTAAGAAATCACAGCCAACTACTATTAGAACTGACCATAAAATGTCCAAGCTCTTTGATCATTAAGTCATACAAATGTTCCCCCCAAAACAGCACAACTTTCTTCTGGTATACACAGACAAGGCTGCGCTTTACATGTTTGAATCTGTTCCAGAAATAAATGTAAATATTTTGTATATTTTCCCTTAACCCTTATTCTGTCTGTAATGTGGAAGATCTGAATCCTGCAAAAATTTTGTGGCAGGTGCACCCAACCTGATTAAATACCAGGGGTTTTAGGACTGCTGCATCCTCACTTTCTGCACCCTTGTTTTTCATGCCATTACATTATGGTCATGTACACCCCTCAGGCAATCATCACCTACTCATCTTGCTTCAGTGACTATGGTCATGAATACACCTCGGTCAAGGGACAAGGAAGGGATTGGCCCTCAGCCAATGGGAGCTGACATGACCATATACAACCACAGTTCAGATTTAACTTTGGTATGAATGGACCCCTGCCGGAGGGCAAATTGGTTTGATCCTCCTTGAAGCAGTAGATCTGCAGCTGGGGACTCTTTCCTTGAGATGCCACCCAAGCAAACTCCTCAGTGTTGAGAGCCCTCATCTTATAGGTGAGTGTCTGCACACGTTTTGGATCCTCATTTCTAAAGCTTAGGAATTCTTGAATTGATTGTGCAGTATTAATTCCTCATACAAACTGAACCTGTGTTTTACTAATGTTGTCGGAGTGTTGAATGGTTTTGATAAATCTAATTTTTAGTTGGTTCTCTGCTAAACAATTTTGCTTAAAGTTTATTTTGAGTTTATCACTTGTCTAATTTGATTTTGAAAGCCTCCATGACAGATTTCCATAAGGTTCTACACAGCAGGAAGGTTCTACTGCAGGAAGTTACTGGAGCAGCTGACAAATAAAGCTCAACATATACAACTCTTTTGTAATTAAAGCCATAGTTTTAGAACCCCTGTCTTCTTCTGTGTTTTCCAAATGACTTTTTTGCTGCTTTTTACAAAGAGGTTTTCAGGAAGTAGCTATATTATATTGAAATGATATTTAATATTTAATTAATTTCATTTAATTTGGAATTAAAGTTAAAAGTCTATTATATGTACCTGCATTAAATCAAATTAGATCATCATGATAAGTACTATTACAACACATGACTAACGAAAGTAGAATTAGAAGAGAGAGTGAAATTCTGGTAAAGTTTTATTTCCACTTTCAAAGCAAATGGAAGAGGCCTTAGGAAGGTTTTGTATCTCCATTACTAATATTAGCACAGAAGTGATAAGAAGTATTCAGCTATTATTCTGGAGCAGGAAGGTGACAGAGAAAAGCAGCTTTTCTCCTATCTCACAAAATACATCCCAGTCCCCAAATCCTCCCATTTCTAAAAGCTCTCTAGTCCTTTGATGTATGTGTGATTCTGTTGAGATAAAGGAAAGTTCAGTCAGGGCATGTCTGCCTAAAGTTCACCTAGTGTCAAACAGCTATTCAGTCTGCCTGCTTTTTCAGGTCAGCTAACTCTGTTAATTCCCCCTCTTTAGCTAAAAGCTAATTGTGTCACTCGGCATGATCAGACCTGCTTGTTCTGAGGAGATTGAACAGCTGCCTCTTGAAGAGAGCAGCACTGAAATTCATGTTTAGGAAAGCAGACACCTATTTTATGGGCTGTGATTTAGAAAAATAGTCTCATGGTAACACTGTTGATCCACAATGTGGGAAAACCTGAGTTTTCCCCCTGAGTTTTAGAGAGCCCGAAGACACATAGCAGAATAGTGACCTGGAGTTCTCAACAGCTCTCCCCTGAATGCATGTTACATTAGATGAATCTTGAAAAAGAGAAAAAAAACATTATCAGGAGTGAAACAGAGACTTAGACCTCTTTGACCACCCAAACAATTAACACTAAAAATTTTTGGTATGGAACTCCTGTATGAAACTAACGTAAGTATCAATAGCCTGGATTTCTATCTGTGTATCTGTTTTGTGTAATTGATATTGTTAAGCATGCTTTAGCTGCCAGGTGACAGCATGCTCAGGAATGGCTGCTGTCCTTTTCAAAATGGAGATTTACATTAATACGTCTTTGCTGAATGTCTTTCTCTTCCAACTTTCTTCTTCACAGTTCTGTTTTCCTGAAAGCAAGATCAGATGAAAGAAAAAAAAAATGTATCCATCTTAACAGTTGTGAAATTCCTTCATAAAAAGATTCTGGAAAAGATTTAGAAAGAAAATCGGGGTTTTCTATTTAGATTTACCAGATATAATTATTTCAGTTTTAACAACTAAACTAGTCAAACAATTTAAGAAGTTAAAGGAGCCATGACTGTCAGTATTAGTACAGCTCTAGGTTCTACACTGGAAAGTACCTTTCAAGCCACCAATAGAAAAAAATCTTGTGGCACAGCATATTATTAAGAAGTCTTTCAGTTGCTAAGACTGCTAATTTGCTACATATGCTACATTAGAAATAACTAATGTTAGAGCTGATTTTTTATTATTATTTTTTTAAAAAATTATAGCATCGGTAGCTTTCTGTTTATAGTTTGTGTGGAGTATGCTTTTTTAATTATTTAATATTTAATATCCTTAAATATTCTTAAAAAAGAAAACAGAAGTATTTTACATCATTACGGGTTAACAAATCTGATTACATACATGCAAATACCAACAAAAAGTATTTGCAACCAAACATTTCCTTGTCAAACTACTATTAAGCAGCTGTCATAAATAGACTTTTGAACTTATATAATTACATGTATATGTTATAATACTATATTCAACAAGTGCCAGGCCAGAGAATTCTTTATGCCTTAAATTGCATTTCTTGGACAGGTTATCAAAATAATTATATTCCATTAGGAACTCATAATCGGAATCAACACAAGTAAAATGCCCTCTATAGAGTTGAAGAGAGTTACTGTTTTCACTTCTGAAATTAGTCTTGCTCACTGTTAGACTGCTTATGGCATGTGCCCTTAGTCACTGACGCAGAACCTCTGCACAGACTTATCATTTGAAAGTGTTATATGAGAAGCAGGATGAGAGTAGATTACCATGAAAGGATGGCATAGCAGTGTCTTCTGAATATAAGCATATCAATTCTGAAAGGACAAAGCTGTGACCTAAAAATAACGTTAGAGGCATCAGGGAAGGAAACTCATTTATAATCTTTCTCAAAATGGGCAACCCCAAAGGGAAGGCTACAGAATGTGGATCTTCTTTGGCTTCTGTCACTTCATTCATTCAAAATAACCATCATTATCACACAATAAGGCACAGGAGAAATCCCTGCGCCTGTGAATTTGTAGATGATGCGGCTGCTCTTACACTAGTCCTGAAAATTATGGCATAAGGGACAAAGTCAGAGACTGGGCAAGGAGTTTAATGCAGTTGACTTCAACTGCTCTACAATGACTGGGATATAAAATGATCTATAACTGAACCCTGAAAAGCATAAACATAATATAAAATATTTATTTTGGTTTTTTGAGGGGTTTGCTTATTTGCTGGCTTACTTGTTTGCTTTTTAAATCAAATTCTGTCTTAGTTACTGTATAGGCTCTAGCACTCTGAGTGTAGTACACAACACTCTGTGTTGTAACTAGTTTGGTACAAAGATTAAGATGTTATTTTTCTGTTATTTTTCATTTACACACAGAGCTTCACAGCTTATTTGAAGTAGTCACTCATTACTTCTCCAGCACAGATGCAGGTTTTACAGCCCCACCTGGGACACCATTCTGCAATATTACAGGTATCCAAGCTATGCCCTTCATATCCTTTTAAACATTTCTTTCCACTCCCTGGTTTCCTCTCTTCATTCTAACACAAAAGCTCAGTTAGCTCAAGGGACTGGTCCTGAAATATAGAATCATATGTTTTCAAATGGCCTTCTTGCTGTTCAGTGATCTGTGTGAAGCAAACCAGTGGCTGAAATTCAATTCCTATAGCCCGAGTGCTCCATAAAAAGTAAAACTGTCATTAATTTCATCAGAGGGATTAGGCATACCCTTACAGCTGGTTTTAGCCCTGACATATCCTTCTGTTAAGCAACTCGCAATACTATTTGCTCTTTTTTTTTTCCACTACAGCCATGGATATTGCCAATCTGTCAACCTACAGAAGCACTACAGTAACTTTTTAATTATTATATGTCTAATATTAATAATCAGACAGCCTGATCAATATTTGCATGCATGAAACTGAGAGAGAACCTAAAGAATGCCACCAGGTTAATTTCTATGTTTTTATTGCCAAAATTACTTTTAGCATTATCCTTTGGGACACCAACAGTTCCAAAGACAGAGCCTGGGTCCCTCCTTCAGAGCCAGTTATAAGTCTTAGGAGCAGTGAAGCTACTGCTCCCCTTGTTGGAGTTTCAATAGGCATGCTTCTTCTCTGAGAACTCTGCCTTGCAGGGGTTCCTCTGGCACAGCCAAGGTTTGCTGTCTCCATCACGACACTGGGCCCTAAGGATGCTACTAGAGTGGTTCCATCATCTAACCAGAGTTTTTTGATATAGCTGTCCAAAGGTCTCCACGCACTTGGCTGCCCAGCTAGCTGCTACTTTGGAAGGGTGTGGAGTCTCCTGTAGATCCATATTATCTCCATGTGGATCCCTCAGAGATCTTAGACATTTAGAATAACGTTCAAAACAACCATTTTTAAGTAGCGTCTCACCTGGGTCTACTTTTTCATCTGAAATTTTTGAAAAAAGTTATTTTTATTTGGAGCTTTCTTTGCCATCTCTCTGCTTTTATGTTTTTCTTGATTTAGTTTTTTGCTGTGGGGCTCAGCTTGTTTTTGGTTTCTAAACGGGAAAAAACCCCTCTTCAAAGTTAGGATAAAAAGCGATGAGCGATGTGCTGAGAAGGCACAATGCATTATAATGTCAGAGTTCCAGACATCATCATTGTCTTTAAATTTTTCTTTCTGCTTAGTTTTAAGTTAGTTGGTCTGTGCATTTCCTGAAGGCTGCATTACTTAATCTAGAAATGTATTAACAGTTCAAAGTTTATTTGGCTTCAGTGATGAAGTATACGTCTTGAAGGCAATTTATCATATATGAGCTTAAAGATAGCTCTTTTTGTTGATAGGTTAGAGAGCATAAAACATGCAATGAAAAATTACTTCAGTGTGACTTTTGAACTATTCTGTCAAAATGCTTTATCACTCCGCTATTGGGAGTAGCTTTGCTACTGTGAATTAGCCCATCTTTTCTCTCTTCTCCATCTTAAAGCCTCATGATATGAAAGGGTGAATGTGGTCACATTAGTCATCATCGAAGAAGGGATCAAAAGCTTAATATAATATACAATGTGAGATACATCAGGGCATAAAGTTCTGTTTTAGCAATGTTAAAAGGAAATAATTTTCAATCATTTAAGTACAGGATAAAGCAATTTGGTAACTAGATAGCACTAGATAGCCTGAAAGCACGTGTTTGACTTGTGTTCTTGCCAATTTCTGTACTTAGTGGTCGTGTTTGATAGACACAAAATCATCTATATATCATTCATTAAGTATATCTCTATGTAACATGAGTTACTTTGGGGTTTTTATTCCTTTCTTTTTTCTGATTATTCATAATACAATTAAGATAACATAGGCATATTATTTTTCATAATTCTTTGAATATAATTGAAGCTCAGATTAGAGGCTATACTGTCCATGTCCCAAGCATGTGGAAGGTCTATGACTAAAATGTTCCATGAATTGAATAATATTACTTTCTATCACCCTGTAAACTAAATTGGCTATAGTATTGGTTCCTTACTTACTGTCGGATACTGTGCAACCTTCTTCTACTAAGATTTGTCATAATTTTCTCTCCCCCTTCTAGTAGGAGGGAATTTTTTTACTGATTTTTTTGAAGCTTCTCAGGAAGGCTAAGTATATACCAGTAAAATAAAAAGGACACAGCCATGGGCTTTATCAATAACATACAATTGTCCACTTTTGACTATTAACACAGGCCATAGCATAATTTTGGCCCATGCAGACTAGCATTTTGCAGATTAATATGTGGGAAGGTGTGGGGTTATCTGTTAGAACTAGTCCTAATAGGCAATTTGAGTGCCCTCCCCTATTTGGGAAGGGAAAGAAAATGTAAGCATGATATATATATATGTGAGCTGAATGGGTATTGGGCCACACCGTATCAGTTGGCCCCAGAATCAAAGAACGCTTCCTAGACCATATTAATAACTAGAATAAATTTACATTTTGGGTACTACATTACACATTATGAAGTATTATTTATATTAACTTGGAAAGTAAAAGCAGTTGTTGCATATTCAATGATAAATGTTAGCATTTTATTAATATTTGCATTATAATTCTTTAAACTATTAAAAATCAGTTATTAAAAAAAAAAAAGAATGGAAAAAAAAGAACTACAGCAGCACTAGAGGTATTATTCCTGCAAATAAGCTATGTAATCATTTCATCTCTTTGTTCTCTTAGGAATTTGTTTGCAAACAGACACTGATTTCTATGAATGTATTCAAAATACATTTACTGAATAGGTGAAATACACAATATATTTAATGAACACAATACATTTACTGAACAGGTGAAACAAAGTGCGATTTATGTCTTGACTAGTGTGCTGTTCATTAGCACATAAAAATATGACTAGTGGTTTGTATTAAAAATAACCAAGGGTATAGTACAATGAAAAGAATCTCTGCATTAGAGAGGAGTGTCATTGTAGCAATGGTTTACTGTCTTTATGTTGTTTAACAGTATGCTGATACAAATGCAAATGCACTCATGTGTGTTATGAAAACCATGCCCTTCTGCCCTTCAGTTAAATCTGTGATCCTATTTCCAGTTTATAATGATGAATTTGAGGTATCGCTAATTTAAGAGTCCATGACTGGAATTTAAAATCTCATTTTAGAAGGGATAAACTGAAAGAGTTTTTCTGTATGTATCCTTTTGTGATAATCCTTTTATTCTCTAATGTTCATAAAGTTTAAAATTGAATTTAAAATGTACAGGGTTGAACTCAAAAGAAGAAATTCAACAAGAAAGGATGAAAGTTTCTCATTTTACCTTGACAGAAGTGACGTTTGACCCCTCACCCTCTAAGGAGCCAGTGTGATACTCTGCTTGTACATCTCCAGTTAAAGTATTGCTGACCCTTTAAATATTTTTTTTTCTGATCCAGCTCGCCTAATTTCAATCCACTAATTGGGGTAAACCAATAGAGAGAGATGGGCTTTTTCACAGGGCAACTCAGCCAAAGACTATTCTGCCTGGATTTCCACGAATCATTTGCTCTTAAGCTGATGAGAAACTTCAGCAGGGACTTAAAACCTAGGGGATTAGCTGTGACTAGAAACATGCATCTTCTTGCTTCCCTCTTTGTTTACTTTTCTACAAGGCTTGTTAAGTAGCCTGAGTCTGCACTAATCCTTCAATATCTACTTTTGACAATTCCTGTCAGGGAAAGGACAAGGATGAAGATAATCAGTGGCATCACTGGCACCACCCCTGAATAACAATCTGTTGCTCCTCTGCTACCCAGTAGGTGAAATTGCTGAAAAACTTAACTGAGCCAATACCCAGGAAGTTAAATACATTATAATCTGTATCAATTTTCATATTTTAGGCACAAAATGTTCCCTGTTATTTCTCTTGTTGGATGACATTCACAAATTCATGTACTTTTAATGAGACTGCAAACAAATTTGAGAAGTATTGGGGATTTTGACTAAAAAATGCCAGTCTTTCCTAACCAGAAGTTATTATATAATCTCACATCTAGGAAGAGCTTTTTCCTTCCTCACATCTTACGTTTTCAAAGCAAATTCTACCTTTTGTCTTCCTACATAGCATTTTCTTCACACAAAGAAAATGTATGTGAAGATGGAAAACACATCTTTTCTGGAATCTAAAAATATATATCTTTCAATAGTTGTGAGACTTAAAAAAAAAAAAATCCACAAGCAAATATCACACAATAGAAGAGAGGCAACAGATAAAATGAGGACTCTTCAGAAAGAGATGGTGGGGCAGCATATGATAAAGAATGTTCATGTTCCATAGAAAGCAGGAGTAATAACAGTTTTGAGATCTATTCTATTTACACTGAACTATGAAATAGATAAACTATCACTCTGCTGAAGGAAAACCCATAGAGATCCAGGGAAGTGTCAAGGCTGAATAAAGTGTGATGCTAGAATGAGACTCAGTGCCATAGTTCCATAAAACCTACATATTTTGCCCCAGGATAGGAAATCTGTCAAACAGACACTATCATTCAGGCTGCATAAATATTAGTAAGTTATGTATAAAGGAAAATAAACTATAGGTCCAGAGTATTTGCAGATGAATCCACATGGGGAAGACATAAGAATCCCCATAAGGAGCTGAATTCTTGATGAGTTATTTCTTGAGGAGTCCGAATAAAACTGTGTCAAACAACAGAGTATAGAATTAAAAGGAGTTTATAGGATTCTTTTTTCAGTTGTTTTCCTGTAGGCACTATGTCATATGGCCAATTCCATAACATAATCTATTTCATATTTAAAGCTGCTAACTTTCCATTTTTTTTGTTCTTCCACCATTGTGTTTGGAAGGCTGCTTAAAAAAACCTACTCTTCTCACTATTGCAGATCTCTTTTTTTCCTCTCATGCTCTTACTTTTATATTTGTCACTAACTGCCTGGGTTAATCAAAATCCTCTGGAAGCAAAGCAGCAATAGACAAATATTATATAACTGTTGCTGATTTCACACTTGATGT